GTAACCCGTATTCTAATGAAAACGCGTTTGGATTCTATGCAACTCTAACGAAAAACAACACTGACATGATGTAACTGCAACTGAGTGGTTTAATTGTCACAACGGGAAGACCCATCTTCATAAACTCTGACTATACAAGGAGATATTTATCTTTAATTTAAACCTGTTTATGGACAAAAATATTTTGGATGTCAAATTGTGCGCTTCATATTTCGCTTCATTATTTTTTGGGTTGCCATAGTAATAGTGTTTGCCGAACCTATCCGTATTTGGAATTTTGACATGCAGACGCCATTGGAGTGGATTGTCGGCGTGATTTGCTTAGTGGTATATCGTTCTTTATGCCATATCACGTGTCCGACTCTCCTCCAATCAGCTTGGCATACACGAATATGAGAGATTATTAATGATGTTATGAACAATACCGTAGTGAGTCACATGTCGTTAAAGTTAAATGATTTGGAACGACAATCGAAATTTGCAATGTACATTGGTTGAAATGCAACAAATAAAGTGCATGAAAAAGCGCCCTCTGCAATAAACAAATAGTTACTAAAGTGTGGGCAAAAACTGAGCCCCTGACCGGATGGTTAGTGGAGGCGGATGATAGGTAATTTATGCTAACCGACAGACTGTATCCAGAGCTAGGCCACCGGTTAATCGACACGTAAACAAAGCAGACAACAATGAGCTCAGGGAACCAGGCAGAAGACAAGCAAAACAGTATTTAGGTTTTGAAAAATGAGCGTTGGAGGAAAAACGGACCAGAATAGTGCAAACAATAGTATACAGTCTAATGACTGTGGCAGAAAGACTGATTAATTTGACTTTTTATTTTTGTTGAAAATTACATTTTTGTGTCATAATTATAAACGAAATAAGAATGCGACTAAATATGATAATACGGTATTATTTGTACACAAGAATATGTAAAAAGTCAATTCTCTGTTTGATGTAACTTTAACATTCTCCTTATAACAGCAAAGCTGATCAAAAAATTCCCCCAAAATGTCAATTGCAGGGGCCCGAAGCTTAATTTGTTTTAACACGAGGAATTGTTAACATCAAAGTTACCACATCAACTATACAAGGTGAAGAAAAAGATTGGGAATCATAGTACATAATCAAAATTATTAATTTGGATATTCAAATAAGTCTCTATTGATAGGCATTGGAGTACGATACAAACACATTCAGTTACTATCATTCCAACAATATCTTTTTTTTCAGGTCAGGCTTGGTCAAAGGTGAAATAATTCTCCCAAATGACATTCAACATAGATTTCATTTATAGGTACCATTAGTTGTGTTCGGACAATGATTAGAAACTGACGGTTGAACTGTGTTATTAGTGCGTATTGTGAGAAATTACGTATTACGCAAACGGGAACGTAGTACTCGCTTATTAACGTTCCCGTCCGTTCTCGTAGACTAATGAATGACATATAGTAATATACGAGGTCAATGGCCTGTGCCAAACATATACTTATGCGTTCTCATTTTCAACCGCCATCGGAATATATTCGGTATAGCTTAAGTTTATTTCGATTTCATGTGGCTGAATTAATAGAATGTCAACATTTTCTGGTGGTATCACTGCTTAACGCAAATATATATATTTCTGGCAAGTCTAACTTCGAGGGCGCTAGAACTTATTAAGTGCGCTCTTGTATCACGGTCGGGAATACATAATGTATTTAATATCCCATCAAATGACTAACAAATAATTATACTGACATACAGGGCGCCATCTATGACAGAATATTGTCGAGTGGTGCCACTCGTTACGGTTACCAGATGATCAATGCAATCAATAAACCTAATAAATTCATTCTCAGTATTTCACATAGTGGGCTTTATATCACCAAGCGCATGTCAGTAATTACAAATCAACTCTGTACTAATTCACCGTGCCGCAATTACGCCCGCTATCACAATTACTTCTCATAACCCATATCTCTTTTCTCTATACAGTATGATTACAATACCGACTCTTGTCAACAGCAATTGTTTTGTGATTAGTCACAGGTCGCATATGTATATATGCGAGTATTATTTCGTAAGCAATCTGTGGCATCTGTCGCCAAATCTGAATCTAATATCCAGATAATCATAGCAGGTTTTGAAAGATTAAGGTATTGAAAACATTACGATGAATGGAAGCCGTCATGCGTAAAACGGTTTCTATGGGAACTGTACTGCCTACTAAAACAATACGTATGGACACTGTTAATATATTTACATTTTTGTCGTCAGATTTTACAGTGTGGTAGATACAGTATGTCTTTAGTGAAAAGGTAAAATATTCACTACAACTGTAACCGACAAATATCATAGTAATCCAATAACAACCCCTGTGTAAATGTGAGAAATTGGCGAGGACAATCACGTGGTAGGAATGATCCAATAAGACGCACGCTCCATGGCACCAGGCAGCAATCCCCGCTAATCATGACAGACTGTTATTGTGAACAGGACACAGACAGTGTTCACGTGATACGACGCAATTAGAGAAACACAAATCACTCACTTTCGAGATAACGCGAAGTATAACGAAAATGAAGACAGGAGTATTCATACTTGCCCTGGTGGCAGGTACCGCCTTAGCTGCCCCTAAGCTTCTGCATGCGAAACCAAAGGTATGTTTCTACAATTGATGTAAATTTCTAATCTACTTCCAACTGTCGGTTTAAATATCGTAATCAGCACTGGATGATGTACGCTATGAATTAATTTAGGATATACACTTTAATATTATATAATTAATGTAATTATTATTATTGTTCATATATAAAAATTATCAATTACTTTCTAGTGCGAAATTTGTTTCTCAAAATATTATATATATATTGTGACGTACTTTTAATTCCAGGGTCAGCCTGAGACTAGGATTCCTAGATGTAAGTAGGAACATATTTGAGTTCAAATAAGCACATGTGTGTGTCAATGCATTGTAATCCAGTTGTCAACGAAACAAAATTCACTTTAAATTAGTATATTTTTCGTTCTCCATACAAGCGTATCAAATATAGTTGATTATAAATGACATGATAATATCACAAGACAGTGTCTAGATGTGTTTATATAAGTTCATTTCAACCACTCACGTTGTTGTGCTGAGATTTCACAAGCCGTAATCACTGTTGGTGCCATTAAACTAAATAACAGTTGTGAGAATGTTGTATTGTGTGAATTTCAGACCTACATCTGACTAGCGCGGGCTTTGTTTACATACTATGCAAATCCTGTTTACAAGGGGGTTTCTATTTATTTCAAAAATGCCAAAACAAATTAACTATTTTAAAAATAGCAAACAGAAAAAAATATAATTGTAATGGTGTGAAGTTCTAATGATCATATTCCTAATTAATAATTCTTTGAAAATTCCAATGATGAATATTAATTTTTATTGGTTTTAGTTAACGTCGTGATGTTCCACTCAATGAACAAGGACTGTTCATTCGACGTGACCTTTGAACGAGCCGACCGAACTTACACCCCGAAATTAAATCTGCAATACAGGTTTTATGACAGCCTTGGTAACACACTATACAGAGGCGATATAGCGATTGAAAAACGCGTCATTTCTGAAACACTAAAGCTGACACCATTACCTGGTTTCAAGGCACCCTATTTTGTAGCAGGAAAAGTGTATGTGGATAATGATAGCGAGAATGATGGGGTCATTAGAACCCACGAAATGGGTAAGTTGAATAGTTTACGACAAATTGATTTTATAACTACTTCATTGCTCCTTTCGCTCCATATGCATATGCGCCGTTCATTACTGTGTCAGCTGAGTATCATATCGCACCCATCAACAATTTATGTAAATTAGACGCAAAATTGTGTATGACGAAACAAACGATAAATACTGCAATTGATGTAACTCACTCAACAGCCGTGAATTATTTTGTATGTTTGAATAAATTTGGTTGTTTTGAATTTGCTCTTATGTCCCCAGCCCCGTGTACGTTTAGTAGGATGAAGGAAAGTGCGTATAATATTACAACAAAGTGCAATAACATACAACAAAGAAAGTTTATTAACAACAACTCAAACAAATTTAAGACATGCAAGGCGGAACTATTTAAAAACACACTAGATAGGCGCATATATTCCGTTTTATAACAATTATTGGATAGTTTAGCATCTTCGTCAAACGATTCGTATAATGTCACAGGGTTATATTGTCGGTTAAACACACATGCCTATTGCATACATTATCAATAATTCCATTTCACTGTATTCCTTTCAGATGATGGTCAATGCCTCAAGAAGAAGAAAAGAAAGTAAGAATTTTAGTTTTCGATTTATTTAGATAATTATTCAAATGAAATGACCAATCAATTATAAATTCAACTTGCCTGAACACTGAACAAGTGTGTGTCGTAATTGACTAAAAAGTTATGTTTTCTCTCTTTTTTCAGAGAAGAGAAACGAAGTAATGCATAATAGAATATTGGCTATTAGGATTGTACGTGGCATACATATCCTTTCGCTTTTTATTTATTTAATCCGCATTTGGATTAGCACACGCATTAAATAGATAATACGACCTATTGCATGAATCAGTAGTTTCCACATTTACAATTATTCTGCTGTGTAATTTTAAACAAATTAAATAAATTATGAAACTCATTGGACATCAGTTGTATTGATTAAAAAAAATATATGTAAATATCTGGTATAGCTATGTAATATATCCTTTTCCAAGTCTGTAGAAATCAGCACGTTCTTTAATTATCTCCAATTACAAACATGTTAAATTACTAGGCCGGTTATATCGTAGCCCGAATATGTATATCTATTTTACCGTGTCCACAAATACACACTATGACACAACGCGGCTGAAATTTCTACTCATGTTCACGCATGTTTTATCAGTTTATCAGCCTAAATTAACTGCAGACAGTTTTCACCGAGTCGGTACGTTATTTGGTCAATGTCGCCTCGTTTTACATTCTGTACTATATCCATTTGGTGAGGGTAGCATTTAAAAAACGGTGATTTCCGAAGTATTGGCTGTAACTGCAGTGGATAAAAGCTGATTGGCCAATGTTACCGACATTAGTTCTACCATTGTTTTCTACAAAGAGCATAAAGATAGCGCGAGACCGGTTTTAATTGTAATCGTTAGGGTTTCAAACGCATTGACACGCAGATCGCCGCAAACCAACGATCTGACACATACTGCGCGTGGAACTATGGGAAAAGGTGTCGGAACTATTTCCACACTGTGCCAACACAGGTGGCGCTATTTGGTTGGTTTGCGGCGATTTGCGAGTCAATGCCAATATTGAGAAAAATTAGACCTTTGCCCCTCCCAATTTACATGCATTTTAATGTTAATAAAATAAGACATTCTGGTGAAAAGATTAAATCCTGCTAAAAATCTGGAGAGAATGTGTTTATATAGGTTCCGCGAAAGAAACGCTGAGTAAAATGGTAGCGGATGGATATTTACCCTTCAGAGGCTAGAATAGCGCCACCTGTGTTGACACAATGTTTCAAACGCTTAGTCTTCCATTTCATAGCGCAAGACCGGCTTTCACATAGAGGCAACCATTGTCATTGTATGAGATTGTCATGTCGATGCAAATAATGTAAACTGTGTGCCCTCTAAGCGATATGGCGCCTCTAAAGCAAAAGAATGATGTGACGCAAATAGTTGCCGCAACTGAAAAATACGACATACTATAGCTAAACACATTTTACTATTTTCATGGAATTTGTAATTTCGTAAAATGAAATTTACGTTAAATAAACAAAATATGTGTAAAAACAAATGAATTCAGGCGTCAAAATATTTTTTTATGCCTTTATCGACCAATCACATTACTGTCAAACGCCAATCCATGTGCTTTAAAATACGAACTCTACGTTAGTAAACCAGTATAAACAAGTAACACATATTAAACAAAAAAATCCCCTGCATACGAACACCTAATTACACGAAGAACCTAGAACACTTTCCTGGGGTATTTAAAACTGAAAATTGGCATTCCAGCTCAGCAGCCAATCAGTGACGGCCTAACGCTTAGATGACAAATTCTGTTTCAAATACCCCGGCTTAGTGTTCTAGGTTCTTCGCGTAGTTAGGTGTTCGTACACATGGGATTGTCCGCACAAAAACGACGAATTAGGCCGAATTTTGTTATGGGTTGGCTTAATATAACCTCATTTTTTGTGAAAGATTAGTATTTTTGTCCTGATTTGTAGGAATCTGAAAAACGCGTTTCACAACTCATCTCTTATTTAGTTGTATGCGTCATTCAAGATGGCGTCCCCCATATAATAAATATCGTATTTATTTTATTATCACGTGTGCGCCAGCTGACTGTGCACCAATTCAGCCCTCTTATAGCAGTATGCTCCCCTCTTCGGAAATCATTTTTGCTGACTGCACCTGGTTAATTTAATTTTAATTGTTTCAACTGTAACAAGAAACATAGAAATTATCATGTGTACGATGCTGAAGTATAGACAAGGATGTCCGACGAATCTATTGAGGTTGAAATTGAAGTAAAACTACAACGTCACCAACGTTAGGTGTGTGTAGTTTATTGAGATTACATTTTTTCCACTGTCGGGCGCCCTCAAGCACTTCCTGTTTTAGAAGAACTGAAAGTGAGGGCAGTAGGTATAGAAACTCCGCTATCCCCATAGTCAGGCACAGCAGCTATCTAGAAAGTACTCTTGTGTTGTGAATTCTGAATTTATTTTTATTTTGACCAAGTGCTAAGCTGAAAGATGAAGTCTGCTAAATGTTTATAAGGTTTTCATGATTGGCGAGAGTTTCAAGTAAATAATTACTTGCCAACAAAATACGTACATATTAAATATCAGGATTAGACGCAGCTATATACGAAATACTAGGTTTCTTCCGTGTTTCCATGGCAACAGAAATTAGCATATTTGGCGGAAGGTAATAACCATTACAATGTTGTCAGCAAATACCAAAAAAGATAATCGTACACTTCTATAATAGAAAGTTATTCCATCGTTTTGACTGACATATGATAACAAATGCTATCCTAGCTCCGTCTCATGCCGGGTACACTTAGGGATGGATGACGGGGTTCATCTCATAAAAAAATTAAAACAAATTACAATCGATTACATACAAAACATTTAGTTTATTTGCGTTGCCCTTGTGGACATTGCAACTGAGTCTACCTACGTACACTTCATTGCGCAATATACATAACATTCCAACGCCTGCTCATATACACCTGTAAAATCACAGCAATGGGTGTTACGTCAATCTGCACCCTGCATGTTACTTATCTGTTATTCGGTGAAACACAGATACTTTTTTCAATCTATACCCATTTTCGAAACATACATGTAAATCAAGAAATGATTATCAGTATGCGGTGGTTGCTGTCCGAGATCGACAAAAGTTAGTCAGTTGTGGTGAGCAATTCATATATCTATCGAATAGGATTTTATGGACAAGAAGAACTTAAATGTACACATACTGTAAAATGACTAATTTTCACTGGGTTTAAATTTCACTGATTTACCATTTCAGACATATTCAGTGGGTTTTAAATTCACGGTTTCGTCATTTAGATAATGTGTTCCATGCTAAATTTTACATATTCACTGGGTTTTAATTTAGCGCATTTTCCAGTCAGCGAAATAAGCTAAATTAAAACCCAGTGAATAATTACCCCCTTTACAGTATTTGAAAGAGACACTTTCCCATCCCCCTTGTCTTGTCACACCCAACGATAAATAAATAAAATTCCTAAACATACGATCAACGTGTTATAATATTATGCGTTTTCGCTTTGGATTCGGCCATGTATGGCCGTGAACAATGATGTGGGTTCAAAAGGTCAGGTTCTTTCACAATTTACATAAAGAATTAAATATTAGATACTAGTCTGACACGAGGACATTGCAACTTCCCTCAAATTCAATATAACAACCATATGCCCTTCTTTGAACTGTCATTCTTGTAGTTTTCGGACAGTTATTTCACTGAACGTTATATCTTCCGAATATTTGTATTCAAACGCTCCAATATACTTATGAATGTAGCAAATGAAATCAACCATAGGCATAACTTGTGCGAATCATATAAATTTGCAAGTTGGTCCCTTTCGATATTGCTGATGAGAGGAACGGATCACGGGTTTTTTGACGCTCCGTGGCTTGATAAGGATGTGTCTACTGCCCTCTGTCGCTGTTTTTACCATTGAACGGTACCATTATTATAAACCACAATTTACAACGCCGCCGGCGTGTCTGCATGATCATTTATATTCCGTAATAGATATTTTGATATATACGTGGAAAGGCTGTGCTTGGATGACTGTTACTTAAACTTAACGCGCGGCGGTCTTCGCGCAGCACGTGTTGGAATTTCATGTAAATAAACAATGTATTTTACACGCGTTGTATACGTCGCTACGAGTACCATTTCGACTGCCGCCCATTAAATAAATTAGTTATACACTATCTCACCCAACCAATTTAATATTTATTAAGTGCGTTTCCTGCTTTAGATGTCAAAGCCGCAGTCTGTAAACCGGACCTTCATTCTTGTTTTCTGAAATCTACCCGGAAAGCATTTACATGTTAAATTAAACTGAATATAAAGAAATAATGCTTAAAGTTGTAAATCGCATCGATTTGTAATTGCCTTCCCACCATTGCCTCAGTACGAGACTTAACGTACCTACCGTTTCGAACCTTCCTGAGACAAGTCACAAAGATGCATACATGGAGTTACATGGGCGGTAGACCGACCGTATACCACTCAATAAATACGTAGTGTAGTATGCAAATTTTTCTATACATACATTGTTGAAAAATAATATACCTCTCTTAATGAGTTCGTAAATAACCCCGTCATGCATATGCATTGATCGTACTACACCAAAATCTGAATTACAAACAAATGCAACAATCGAAGCAAGAAGAACTTAAAGCCAACAAATCAACAAATTTCAACAACCACAAAGTCGGGGATTCGATGAAAGATCCTGACAGACATAAGTCGCTTCACAACATTGCAAGTGACGTAGAGTGGAGATAACCATTTTTATAGGTGCGCAAAAAAGCGAGCGTTATAAAAAGTCGCAAACCGTTCAATAGAATGGGCCCCACATCCTATAAATCAAGCTGAATATTCGTTAATATTGACTGACCAATCGTCTTTGTCCATGATTATTTTGTATTTTGTTTTTGTGGCCGTTGTAATAAAATAGGCGACACTAAAGTGTTTATTGCATTAACACCACGAAACGTAATTACATATATAGTGAAAACCCATATAAAAAAGTCAATAGACAAATTTAATAATCGACACAGCCTTTTGCTTGTACCTGGAAGCAGCCATGGGGAAACCTTGTCGATGACATTTCAGACCTCAGACTCTAATTCAAGGTCAAATATGGGAATTATTATTGTGTAAAACCTAAGGATATTCCTTTTCAACATTATTTTATAGTATTACCTCAAATAAATTGAATAACGCATTGTCACACGCAACGTAATATTACCGTAATTGGTATAGTAGTACAGGTGTGATGGTTCAAATACCAAAATGGCAACAGTAACAGAAAGACTTCCCTGGCGGCGATGATGACATGCGAACACGGAGCCAACAGATGAGGTTTCAACTGGTACT